CAAGAGAAGGACTAAAAACAAAAATGTGTTTACAGAGATACCAATATTGAGTGAGTGAGTGTGCCACCTCTCACACAGCTTTCCGGTGGTACTCAGGGGGAGCCACTTCATAATCACTGGCGCTAAACAAAGTTGCTGAATTCTTTGCCAGGTACTTTAGGAAATCATGAAGATAATTCAGTAACAAAGCAAGGCTCTTCTCATCCAGAGGTGTATAAGCCAACATCGCTCCAATTCGCACAAATAATCGCAGTAGATGTGGCGCTCCATACACCTGGGACATTGGTGCGTCAGGATGATCTGCGAGGATTTCAGCGTACTGTGGTCTCTCAAATTTATAGAGCAGCTGAGTGCCCAGCATTACGTTGAAGTATTCTTTTATCCCTGCCACAACTTCATTAACAGCGTATTCCTTATTATCTGTGTTTCCACGAGATTTCTTGTAATTTGCATAATCCTCCAAAATGGAATCCACATTCTTCTTCGCAGATGTACTTTGAAGATGTTAGTGTATAACAGAATTGATGTTTGTTTTCTGTTTGATTTTGAACAGAGAAAATAAAAGGGGTTGCAGCTCCTTTTTTTCTTTTCTTACTTTTTCATTTCAAAGTTGCTACCAGTGTATTCAGTGGTGGACAACAGAGGGACATGCTGTAGAGTGTTTTATTGCCTAGTCGACAAAGCTGCTTTTGAATGCTGGTGGTTCTATTCCTTTGACACTACGCACTTTTATAATATGTGTTAATGCTATATGACAAGATGCTCTGATTCTTAGTGCCAAAGGTTCAATTCAGTGTATATAACTGAACACACTCATCCATTTGTGCTCTTTTTTTTTTTTTTTAATGGTGCTTAAAGTAAAGAGCCCATCCTTGGCAAGTCATCCATGTGGTTCCTTAGGCATTTTATCTTTGCTCAAATTGTTGAAGAATGGTGGCTTGTTTCATGGTTTTTGTATTTGTGTCTAATGCACGTTTTAACACAATAGACGCAATGCATTGTGTAGCTACAGTTTTCTGGAAAAGTTGATCTTTTAGGAATTGTTTTTCAGATCTTCAATAAAGTTTTTCTTTAAATTTCAAAAAAAAAGTAAAAAAAACTTTTTTATTTAAAGATTTATTTATTTACTTGAAAGGCAGAGAGAGAGAGAGAGACAGACAGACAGAGATCTTCCATCCATTGGTTCATTCCCCAAATGGCCACAATGACCAGTCTGCAGCCAGGAGCCTCGAATGCCATCTGGGTCTCTCACATGGGTGGCAGGAGACCAAGGAATTGGGCCGTCTTCTGCTGCTTTCCCAGATGCATTAGCAGAGAGCTGAATTGGAAGTGGAGCAGCTGGGACACAAACTGGCACCCATATGGGATGCTGGCACCACAGGTGGCTGCTTAACCTGCTGTGCTACAATGCTGGCCCCAAATTGATTTTTGTATAGGATTAGAGGTAGAGATCTAGCTTCATTCTTCCACATATGGATATCCAGTTTTCATAACATTACTTAATGAAGAAATTCTCTTTCTTTAATGTATGTTTGTCATGCTTTTGTTGAGAGTCAGTTAGCTGTAGGTGCAAAAATTTATTTCTGAGTTCTCTATTCCGTTCCATTGGTCTGTGACAATTGTATGCTGGTACTATGCTGTCTTTTTTTAAAATTAAAAAAAGAATTTTTATTTATTTTTATGCATTTCATAAATGCAACTTTAGGAACATAGTAATTCTTCCCACTGTATCTGCCCTCCTCCTCCTCCTCCCCCTCCCTCTCTCATTCCCAGTCCTGTTTTTACTAAGATCTATTTTCTTCTAACCTTATACACAGAAGATTAACTCTGTTCTAGGTAAACAGTTCAGCACTTCATAATAGGAAAAAAAAGAAAAAGAAAGAAACAAAACAAAAAACACGAAAAAAGCCAAGAACAAAATCTGTTCCTCAGCAGTCCAGACAAGGGCTGTTTAAAGTCATTGCATCTCGATGGTAATTTCGCTTTTTTTTTTTTTAAGAAACTTTATTAGCTTTAAAGAAGAACTCAAGAATGATGCATCTTTTATGAGCATTTAGACATAACTAATTTATGTAACATAAGAATACCTTCCACTTAATACACCAAAATGAAGTAATTCTTTGAGAACAAGTTTTACTATTAAGTCTCAAAATGTCCCTTTGAGGACAGAGGTCCTGCATGGGAAGTTAGTGCACAGTGACTCCTGTTGTTTATTTAACAATTAATACTCTTATGTATTATATCAGTGATCACCCAAGGCTCTTGACATGAGCCGCCTAAGCTATAGAAGCCGTTTGAATCCACAAACTCATCAGTATTTGGACAAGGCCATAGGCAAAGTGGAAGCTCTCTCCTCCCTTCAGAGGAAAGTACATCTTTCTCTTTTTTTATTTATTTGACAAGGTGAGTTTACAGACAGTGAGAGAGAGAGAGAAAGCAAGGTCTTCCTTCCATTGGTTCACCTCCCAAATGACTGCAACGGCCGGAGCTATGCTGATCTGAAGCCAGGAGCCAGGAGTTTCTTCCTGGTCTCCCATGTGGGTTCAGAGGCCCAAGCACTTGGGCCATCCTCCACTGCTATCCCAGGCCACAGAAGAGAGCTGGACTGGAAGAGGAGAACTGGGACTAGAACCAGGTGCCCATATGGGATGCTGGCACCGCAGGCGGAGGATTAACCTAGTGTGCCATGGCGCCGGCCCTAGTACATCCCTCTTTGTTGGTCACTTCTTTCCACTGGGGTCTTGCCCACAGAGTTCTTTCATGTAGAACATTTTTGCCACAATGTCTTGGCTTTCCATGCCTGAAATATACTCCCCTGGGCTTTTCAGCCAAACCAGAATGATTCTGAGGTCAGAGTTCTGCTTAAGGTGATTGTTATTCTATGAATCTGCTGTATGGGCTACTTCCCATGTTGGAGCATTCACTCCTTTTAAATTCTGTCTATTACTACTACCAAACACTTATTCCTATTTATATGATTGATAAAACACTTGATCCTATTTATATGATCACTTTAACACTTAATCCTATCCATATCATCTATATAACACTTAGAATTATGCTGTCTTGTTTACTATAGCTTTGTATGTATTGAGATCAGTTATTGTGGTGCCTTCTTTTTTATTCAAACTTCCTTTTACCATTTGACATCTTCTTGGTTCTATAGGAACTTAAGAATTTTTTTTCCATTTCTGTGAAGAGTGACATTGTTATTTTAATAGGAATTTCATCGAAGTTGTAAATTGCTTTGTAGTACGGACATTTTAACAATATTAATTCTTCCAATGCATGAACATGGACATCCTTCATTCTTTGTATACTTCCTTCAGTTTCTTTCTTTTTTTAAGATTTATTTATTTATTTGAAAGGCAGAGTTACAGAGAGGCCGAGGCTGAGGGAGAGAGAGAGAGAGAGAGAGAAATTTTCTATCTGCTGGTTCACTCCCCAAATGGTCACAGCAGCCGGAGCTGGGCTGATCTGAAGCCAGGAACCAGGAGCTTCTTCTGGGTCTCTGACAAGGGTGCAGGAGCCTAAGGACTTGGGCCATCCTCTACTGCTTCCCCAGGCCATAGCAGAGAGCTGGATTGGAAGTGGAGCAGCTGAAATTCGAACTGGCACCCATATAGGATGCCAGCACTGTAGGTGGCAGTTTTACCTGCTATGCCACAGCACCAGCCCCTCTGCAGTTTCTTAAGTGTTTTGTAATTTTCATGGTGAGGTCTTTCATTTTCTTGGTAGAATTTTTTGGTAACTATTTTAAATGGAATGACTTCATGATTTCTTTAACAAATTTGTCATTGGTGTTTAAACATGCTCCTGGCTTTTTTTGTTTGTTTGTTTAATTGGTATCTTGCAACTTTACTAAATCTGTTTGGCAGTTCTTAGGTCTTTTGGTATAGTCTTTAGGTTTTCCTACATACAGAGTCATGTAATCTGCAACCATGGTTAACTTGATTTCTCTTTCTATTTGTATGCCTTTTCTTACTCTTGTATAATTGCTCTAGGACTTTTATTACTGTATTGTAATAAGGTCATGAAAGGAGGCATCCTTATCTTGCTCTAGATCTTAAAGGAATTCTGCTGTTTTGCATTAAATATGATGTTGGATTGTTTTTAACCACATATAGCCTTTATTATTTTGAAGTATATTTCTTCTATACCTGATTTGTTCAGAAGTTTTATTGTGAAAGTAAGTAGTTTTATCCAGTGCTTTTCTGCATCTGTTGAGATGGTCACATTATTCTTACTTTTCATTCTGTTGATGTGATACATATGCTTTTGAATTGCATATGTTGGACTATCCTTTAATCCTTAGGATAAGTCCCACTTGGTCATGGTATATCATCTTCTTGATGTATTGTTGAATTTGAGTTGCTAGTATTTTTTTTTAATTTGACAGATAAAATTACAGACAGTGAGAGAGACAGAGAGAAAGGTCTTCCGTTGGTTCACCCCCCAAATGGCCGCTACGGCCGGAGTTACGCTGATCCAAAGCCAGGAGCCAGGTGCTTCCTTTGGGTCTCCCATGCGGGTGCAGGGGCCCAAGCACTTGGTCCATCCTCCACTGCCTTCCTGGGCCACAGCAGAGAGCTGGACTGGAAGAGGCACAACTGGGACTAGAACCTGGCTCCCATATGGGATGCCGGCGCTACAGGCGGAGGATTAACCAAGTGAGCCACGGCGCCGGCCCAAGTTGCTAGTATTTGTTGGAAATTTTTGCATTCATGTTCATCAGGGATATTAATCTCTATTTTTCTTTTTCTGCTGTGTCGTTCTCTGTTTTTTTTTGTATCAGGGTAATGATGGCTTCCAAAGAATTTGGAAGATTTCCCTCCCTTCCAAGTCTTTGGAATAGTTTAAGAATTGGTATTAGTTCTTTAAATGTGTAGTAGAATTTACCAATGAATCAATCTCTTTATGGGCTATTCTTTGTTGGGAGACTTTTTATTATTGACTTAATCTCATTACTCATTATTGATCTGTTTAAGCTTTTTTTATCTTCATGCTTAAACTTTGATAAGTTATATGTGTCCAGGAATTTATCATTTATTTTAGGCCTTCCAATTTGTTGGTTTTAAAATTATTTTGGTTTTCTTTCCTTTACAGTACTGCAGTATTTTGTTTGTACTTTTTTTTGGACAAATTTTATTTATCACTTTGTAGTGGTCATCTCTGTGGTTGTTCAACTTAAACTTCAACATATATTCCCACCCCACTCCGTCAGACTGAAAGGGCAATAAACAAGTCTTATTCTTTTTGTTTTTCCTGCTGTACATATTACAGTGCATTTTAAGGATTGTAAATCAATTTTGAATAACCCAGGCCGGCGCCGCGGCTCACTAGGCTAATCCTCCAACTAGCGGCGCCGGCACACCGGGTTCTAGTCCCAGTTGGGGAGCTGGATTCTGTCCGGGTTGCCCCTCTTCCAGGCCAGCTCTCTGCTGTGGCCAGGGAGTTCAGTGGAGGATGGCCCAAGTGCTTGGGCCCTGCACCCACATGGGAGAC